CCACATTACTGCAGAGCTTGAGAAGTTAGCTGCAGCCTACAAAAGCAAAAAAGACACATGGAGAGCCCTTGGATATCAGAAAGCTATTTCTGCCATTCGCAACTACCCAAGACCTATTACATCCAGAGAGGTAGGGCCTCTAAAACGTACACTTACACTTTCTAAAATTTCCATATATCTGCTTCAGTGACTTGTAATAATGTTGGTTTGATTCAAAATATAAGTAAGTCAAAAAGTTATTCCTAGCAGAGCAAATTCTTAACCTTTTCATGCCAAGAGTACTTGTAAAAATATTCCATTCACTAGTATTTGATTTACACAGAGATAGCTCCATAGTCTTTTACTAGGCGATAGTAACAGGAATTAAAATCTTTTCCAGAGAATTCAAGGAATGTGATAAACATGTAAGATCAGGTAGGCCTAGTGAGATCAGGTAGGCTTAGTAATTGTTGTGCAGATGACTATAGTCTCAGAAGAAAAAAATAGCAATGCACCCCAGACTCTAATCCTTAGATCTGCCAGGCCTCTTTTTAGGATGTATAATAAAATGGTGTTGAAGACCGCATATTTCATCAAAGAACAACAAAATATTGTATGCAAGCTTTAAAATAAGTATATTTATAAACAAGTATAAAGTGTCCTCTCTCTCTCTCTCTCTCTCTCTCTCTCTCTCTCTCTCTCTCTCTCTCTCTCTCTCTCTCTCTCTCTCTCTCTCTCTCTCTCTCTCTCTCTCACTCTCTCACTCACTCACTCACTCACTCACTCCTCACTCACTCACTCACTCACTCACTCACTCACTCACTCACTCACTCACTCACTCACTCACTCACTCACTCCTCACTCACTCACTCACCACTCACTCACTCACTCACACTCACTCACTCACTCACTCACTCACTCACTCACTCACTCACTCTCTCTCTTCTCTCTCTCTCTCTCTTTCTCTCTCTCTCTCTCTCTCTCTCTCTCTCTCTCTCTCTCTCTCTCTCTCTCTCTCTCTCTCTCTCTCTCTCTCTCTCTCTCTCTCTCTCTCTCTCTCTCTCTTTCATTTTACATTGAAAGTTTGATATATAGGTTTCAAGATTTGATGAAAGGGTGATCTTTTTTGCAGGAGGCCCTCAGTATCCGTGGTGTGGGAGGACGCTTAGCAGACAAAGTTGCAGAGATTGTAGAGAGTGGTAAACTAAGGAAAGTAGCTGAAGTGTGTGAGGATGAAGAAGCTCAAACACTGCAGCGCTTCATGGGTGTCTGGGGAGCTGGACCAACCACTGCACATGGCTGGTACATTCAAGTGTGTACAAAAAGAAATGTTTTTGACTTTGTGTGAGTTTGTGTGCATAATCGCAAATATGATTTATTAAACATAATCACATATATAATAGTCGTGATCCTAAATAATCCTCTGCATGACTGTGTACATGGATGATTATGCAACCAAGCTCACTTATGTATTTTCCAGGGATACAGAACACTGGAAGATCTACGTGAGAAAGGGAATTTGACTAGACACCAGCAAATTGGTCTCAAGTACTATGATGATATAAATAGCCGCATCCCTCGTGAAGAAGTTGCAGAAATTGAAAACTATGTAAGGGTGCATGCGAAATTGTAAAAATGTATATATTTGCAGTATGCTTTTTTTCTACTTTCTCTTCTTTCCTTTCTTTTCTTCTAGCAAACAACAGAAATTTTTGCACGACTATTTACCTAATTATTTCATCAGAGGTGATATAAATGTTGGTTTCTAGGTCCGGTCTGCTGCACATGGTATTAAAAAAGGGCTGATTGTTATGGTGTGTGGCTCATACAGACGTGGCAGAGCAACTTGTGGAGATGTTGATGTGCTGGTGACTCACCCTGATGGCCAGTCTCATGAAACTGTATTCCAGCCACTCTTGAATAAGTTGAGGGAAACAGGTACAGCACTTGTTTTTTTCTGGTCTTCATAAAAAGTGAAGGTGTTGAGTGTGTAGTTAAAACATTTTAGTTTGAGGGAAAATTTTGATTCCCATTTGCATTTTTAAGCTCTGCATGCAATTTTTTCCATATAATTCCAGGTTTTTTAACTGATGACCTTGTGACTCAAGAAGATAATGGCAACCAGAAGAAATATCTTGGTGTATGCAAATTACCAGGAGAAGGACAAAAGGTATGAACTCTTTCTGCAAATGTGTTTGACAAGGGTAATAGATTATTTATTTGTTCGCTGTATTTTGGTTTTCAATATTTAATATTGGGAAAATTTAAGCAATATCTGAAATATTCTGTGTTCTTCCGTATTAATTTTCATTTTATTAAAACTGTTGAAGAAAATACTATAATTCATGATTATTCAGATTATCCCATTTCTACAAATTATTACTTTTCTTCCATAATAGTACAGACGATTGGATGTGATTGTGGTCCCATACTGTGAGTTTGCTCCAGCTGCAATGTATTTTACTGGATCTGCTCATTTTAATAGGTAATTAATGCTAAGCATTTCTATGATATATTTTGG